GGAATTGTTCTGTACTTGATGTCAATATTTATCAGACTTGGGTGTATGTAAGTTGCATTGGTCTGTACTAGAGGTACATTTGATGTGTACCTCAAGTAGACAAAGCCTGTCGAAAGTTTTGATGGTAATACACATCAATATTCATAAGAGTTGGGTGTATTTAATTGCATTGGTCTGTACATGAGGTGCAGTTGATGTGTACCTCAAGTAGACAAAGCTTGCCGAAAGTTTTGATGGTAATACAAATCAATATTTATCAGAGTTGGGTGTTTGTAAGTTGCATTGGTGTGTACATGACTCTTGAACTCATATAATATAAAAACCATTGTCTGAACCACATTTCCGTTAGACCATCGGACTTTAGTGTGATATCTGATCGCACTTAAACACAAACAACCATCGCACTTTAGCGTGACCATCGAACTTAAGCGTGACCATTGCACTTTAGAGTCCAACATACATATAAGCTATTGCTTATAGCATCTTAGAAATAGACTTAATGTAGTTCAGGGGTATAGAAAAATAAAATGCTCCGCAGGGCGCAGCTTGATACAATCGCAGAGGTCGAACCCTGAACAGTTGGGGCAAGTATGGACACAACATTCAAGCTTGATACAGCTCTGAATTTGGATTGTGATTAAATATTTGACACAGCATAGGTTTCTGACACAGAATGAATGTGGTCTAAGAACTTAAAAATTTTAAATTGGACATTCACCTATTATGGTCCAATATCCAAAATCTAAATACATGGTTAGATTCAGCATATCAAAGAACCCCAAGAATTCAATTTTTGATGAAATCAAACAAAGTTTAATTTTGGACCCTTTTGACCTCAATGTGGACAAAGTTGATAACGGGGCCCAAAAATCTAAATACATGGTTAAATTCAGCATATCAAAGAACCCCATATATTCAATTTTTGTTGAAATCAAACAAAGTTTAATTTTGGACCCCGATTTGGACCAACTTGAAAACTGGGCTCATAATCAAAAATCTAAATACATGTTTAGATTCAGCATATCAAAGAACACTAAAAATTCAATTTTTGTTAAAATCAAACTAAGTTTAATTTTGGACCCTTTGGACCTTAATGTAGACCAATTTGAAAACGGAACCAAAAATTAAGAATCTAAATACACGGTTAGATTCGGCATATCAAAGAACCCCAATGATTCAATTTTTGATGAAATCAAACAAAGTTAAATTTTGGACCCTTTGGACCTCAATGTGGACCAATTTAAAAACGGGGCCCAAAATCCAAAAACTTAATACACGGTTATATTCAGCATATTAAAGAACCCCAAGAATTCAAGAATAAAACCCCATTGAAATTGATCAAGAAATAAGCAATTTATAAGAAGTATCTTCTTTTGCACAATACTGTGCAATTGAATATTTCTTGCTATTGCGCAATACTGTACAATTGACTATTTCTTGCTATTGCGCAATATTGTCCTATTGTATATTTCTTGCTATTGCGCAATACTGTGCAATTGAAGATTTCTTGCTATTGTGCAATACTGTACAATTGAAAATTTCTTGCTATTGCACAATACTTATTATATAAAAATTTACACATCCTGTTTGGTGTGTATCTCCTACCATATCATTATTATTTGCTTTTAAATATAAATCAGAAATAACCAACTTAAAATGGAAAATTTAAAAAAAAACAAAAAAAGGAAAAAAAGAAAGAAAACCCCCCAAACCCCCCCCCCCCCCCCAAATTTTTTTTAACCCCCTTATGATTCATCACCCCCAAACTCAATCCCAGCCTTCCCTTTGTGGTATGGTACCTTGCAGTACAATTTCAGAGAGATCCATACACTTGAACACAAGTTATTGTCTTGAAACTAGAAAAATGCTTATTTTTGGCCCCTTTTTGGCCCCCAATTCCTAAACGTTTCAGGCAATTACCCCCGAACTCAATTCCAGCTTTCCCTTTGTGATATGAAACTTTGTAGTACAATTTCAGAAATATCCAAACACTTACACACAAGTTATTGTCATGAAACTAGAAAAATGCTTGTTTTTTGCCCCTTTTTTTGCCCCTAATTCCTAAAATTTTGAGGCAATTACCCCCAAAATCAATTACAGCCTTCCCTTTGTGATATGGAACCTTGTGGTACAATGTCAGAGAGATCCATACACTTACACACAAGTTATTGTCTGAAAGTTACAAAAATGCTTATTTTTGGCCCCTTTTTGGCCCCTAATTCCTTAACTGTTGGTACCATAACCCCCAAAATCAATCCCAACCTTCCTTTTGTGGTATTGAACCTTATGGTAAAATTTCATGGAGATCCATTCACTTAAACTAAAGTTAGAGTGCGAAAACCAATGTGTCTTCGGACGACGCCGGACGACGCCGGACGACGCCAGACGACGACGACGACGACGACGACGACGACGACGCCAACGTCATACCAATATACGACCAAAAAATTTTTAATTTTTGCGGTCGTATAAAAATGAAAGAATTTTCTTATACTTTGTGAACTTAAATTTTGTAGCATGGTTATTGAAAAAATCCAAAAAAAATTGGGGGTCACCAGCCATCTAAGAGATTTTTTGACCTCTGAAAATGAGTGCAAATAGGCTATATGGATATATAGGGAAAATGGACATAAAGCCTCTTTGATTGAATTTTCACAGCAAACAAAAAGACAGACGTTGCTCATTTTTTCATACTGAAAAGTTTGATGTCTCTATTTTATGAAATTGGAATAAAATTTGGGGGTCACCGGCCATCCAAGAGATTTTGTTACCTCTACAAATGAGTGCAAAAAAGGCTAAATATAGGAAAAATGGACATAAAACCTCTTTGATTGAATTTTCACAGCAAACAAAATGACAGAAGTTGCTCATTTTTTCATACGGAAAAGCTTGATGTCTCTATTTTATGAAATTGGAATAAAATTTGGGGGTCACCGGCCATCCAAGAGATATTTTGACCTGTGAAAATGAGTGCAAAAAGGCTAGATATAGGGAAAATGGACATAAAACCTCTTTGATTTAATTTTCACAGCAAACAAAAATGACAGAAGTTGCTCATTTTTTCATACTATAAAGCGTGATGTCTCTATTTTACGAAATTGGAAAATATTTGGTGGTCACCGGCCATCCAAGAGATTTTTTGGCCTCGGTAAATGAGTGCAAAAAGGCTAAATATAGGGAAAATGGACATAAAACCTCTTTCATTAAATTTTCACAGCAAACAAAATGACATAAGTTGCTCATTTTTTCATACTGAAAAGCTTGAAGTCTCTTTTTTATAAAATTGGAATAAAATTTTGGGGTCACCGGCCATTCAAGAGATTTTTTAACCTCTGAAAATGGGTACAAATAGGCTAATTTCTGAATGGATATAGGGGAAATTGGAAAAAACCTCTCTTTTTGAATATTCACAGGAAAAAAATGACAGAAGTTGCTAATTTTTATGCCCCATCGTAGCTGAGGGGGCATTGAATTTTACCCTTGTCCGTATGTAAGTCTGTTCGTCCGTATGAACGTCCCAGATTTGATTTCCGTTCTCCAGCTTTTATTTGCCTCAACCAAATGTTATGAAACTGTATCAAAATGATTTTACCACACAACACACACCAAGTTTTAATTTTGTTGGTGTCACTTTAACCGTTCTAGAGTTATGCCCCTTTACAAATTGAAAAATTGCTGAATTTTTCCTTTCCTTTCTCTAACTTTAGTTTGCTTTTACCAAATGTTATGATTGATATCTTGCAGTTTCCTTCGCATTTTCTTATCAAACTTTGAAGTATTATTAAGTATCATGTGCAGATTAGATTTCGGTGTAAATAGGCTGTGTTTGCTTTATATATAAGACTCATTTCTAGAGGAGCACCAACATAAAATACTATGTAAAGGAAACATGGCATTTTCTGTTTATTTTCTTATTATGATATGAGTTCGAATGTCCCATTAGTATGATTAATCGTTCTTTTATCACACATTAAAGATTCATATAAATGTGAGCATTTGTTCTTGTTTTCTTTTCATTTCTTTTAAATATTAAAAAAATACATTCCGAATAAATTTGACAAAAAATAGACTTACCATCACTACCACACATAATCAGCACAGTAAGTGCCCCCCTTTTTCCACTCCATTTGATTATCCAGTATTATGTGGTGATTATAATTATAATTGTTTTTCTTTTTGTGTGTTACCGAGTTGATTTAGGGAATTAACATGACTAAGCATATTTCTTGATAGAAGTGAAACAACAACATGTGATCTAATACATTTATTTTATTTTCAATGGATATCTGTTCTTACGTTTGTTTGTACATATATAATTAAATAAAGATGCCAAATAAATAACATGTTTTTCTCAGTTAGAAATACTGTTTGTAGTAGCTAGGTTAAATAATTTCACTGAATAAAATTTGCAAAAGCCTTGCTAATAATATAAATTTTTAAAAACATTAAGACATTTTGCTTTGGACTTCAACATGACAAATTCTAGATTTAACCCTAATTTGGTTTATTATACAATTATTTGCAAAATGTAGATCATAATGAATATGTGTAAAATTTCATTAACTATGTTCAGCACAAACATTGACCTAACCAATAAGTGAATACATGTATCATCATGTAAACATCAAATAGTCATGATTGAAGTCATCAAAATAGTGTTTGTTTGAATATATTTGCCGTAACTTGTATAAGTCATTCTGATATCATTTTATCCCATATTCAATCTTTTAAAGATGGAGATCTCCTTCTTTCCCATCCACAGAGGTAGGAGTATAATTATGCAAGACATCTCATTCAAAATTTTACTTTTTGAATATACAGTATTTTGATACTTCTGTACAAACAGATGAAAGTATGTTATCTATAAATAGATTTTTTAAAGTTCCAACAGCAATAACATTTCTAAATAACATTGGATGTCTTTTTACTAATATAAACACCTGAGAGACTACAATTGTTCCTGCTGCTTTTTTATAATTGTTAAGCTATTTTCCAAAATTTCTATATACTTGTTCTAATTGCCTGTACAAGCAATAAAAAAAATCCACCAAAATATATATAAAAAAACACAGAAAAGACTAAGATTTATAGAACTGTTAACTCAACATATTTTGAAACTCTTATCTCAAGTTGAACTTTTTTTCAAGAAACTGTACAGTCAAAATTTATCATACTATGTTCATACAGTCTATCTTTATGATCAAAATTTGGGTTATAGCTGGATAGATTACTTCACTGGATTATGTATGCATTAAAAACTCAAATGCATCTCCTCCAGTAAGAAATGGTTTTCCAATCAACAATAAATTATTACACAAACTTAAAAAAATTGATATCTAAAAAAATTCAAGGTTCATATAAAGTTGTATAACTATCAAAACTATTTGGTTTATATCATGAAGATATTTCTACAATACATTTACAAATATTACAGCAGGGCTCACACTACCATTTACACTAATTTACAGTACACATTAATGTTTATCTCTGATCATGAATTTCAACAAAAGGTTAGTTAAGGTAAAGTTCTGCATAACAACGATCAATTTTCTAATTCTTATCATACAGGAGGAATAATATTTTACGTTAAAACTTCATGACCTCCCATGTAACTGTATCATATGCTCTTAAAGTATTACCACTGACTGACTACCTTAACAAACATATTTTTCCTTTACTTGTGACTAATTAGATACTCATATACTCTTTGTATAATTATTTTGTTTGATGTCACTCTAACTACCCCAGTTGAAGACTTTTCTGTCATTAAGGCTTTGAGTCCTGCCATGTCATTTCGTTGTACTGCTAATTGGAAATGTTGAAACCTTAGGTTAGACCTTTTGGTCTTTAGTGCCATAGCTTTTGACAGACATTTTGATTGAACTAGCTCTTCAAAAGTTTTCAAGTTGGCCAATTGCATCTGGTATAACTGAGGGTAGCTAGGTGAAAAAGCAAGTTCACTAATAAATTGAGAAACATTACCTTTCTCAGTGACTAAATTAAAAAGTAATTTTGTGTCATACACAGCATTATGAGATTCATACTGTTGACTAATAGTTTATCAACGAGAAAAGACTGGCTATAAGATGACAAGCCAGGTGAAACGAGTTTAAACAAATTCAAAGAGTCTAAAAATGCAACAGTTCTTGCACATAGTTCACTGTACATATTCATAGATTTTAAAGTATGAAATAAAACATGGCAGTCAAATCGTTTTATATTATGTCCTACCAATACAGGTTTATCTGTGAAACTTGACAAATACAAATAAGTTAAAAATCAGTCATTCTTTCATGTTTATGCTTATAAACAACAGCATTACCATTGTAATACATTTTTTGTCCTACAATAGTGATTTTTGTTATTTCTGATGCTTCTCTTGAAATTTGTTGGTCTGGAAATATATATCGACTGAAGGAACTGTCTTTGGTGCATGCAGCTATCTGGGTTATATCAGAATATATACCTGAAGTTAAACATTTTGTTTATTATTGTGCATCTAAACTGTAAAAGGTATTTCGAAAAAGCAATTAATTGTCAAAAAATTATAAACAGGACTAAGTCTTCTATCCCTCTCATTTGAACTTTCGTTGATGGTCTTATTGGCAATTATACCACATCTCCTTATTTCATATCTCTCTTCATTGAAATAACTAAAAAAAAAAGTTTTGCTGCACTGGTCTGTAAATATTTTTCTAAAATTATCATCTTTGTATTTTATCTCACTTCCAAAATAAGGTAGATGCAAAGTGTAAATTGCTAAAAAAAATGAAAGAGTTATTGCCCCTTAAATGTATTGTTTCAGCAATTTTCAGTTTTTGGTTTTATTTCAACTAAAAGAAAAAAAGAACATTAGAATAATCATCAAAAGCAAGCTAAATTATCAAGGTGAGTCATTCATGATCCTCTTAATATACTTTATTCATAAGGCAGCCAAAATGCATTGACTTTAAAATTTGGCTTTACACAGTATATACAGACATTGATAATGTGTTTCTGTAGATATTGTTATATCTTTGATGTCATGAAAAAATCCAGTTCTTTCAATTTTAACATTATCCACTGAAATATTTTTTTATAATTGAGGTAACTCATTTCTGAAGTATAATTATGTATAACATACTTAAACCATTTGTCTTTAAATCAAAACAAACTATTGGTGCATCATCTATGTTGTAAAGGTTTCAGCTTCAGGAACTGCAGGTATTTCTTCTATGTCTATTGTTGCAAAATCTTCTAACCCTAATTAAAATAATATATACCAAGTCTTTGAAAGAAAATAATTTCAACTTTATAAAATATCAAAATCTACTAAAATTCATTAATATTTTGTGACTAAATTGTCCCAAAAATTACAATACTTCAGAAGTCTGGTAAATTTCATGATTACATCTTCATGTTAATTATATAACTTTAATGTCTGGCTGAAATCTCACGCATTTTCCTAAGCCTTGTTTCTATTTTAAAGTATATATTGATGCTATGTTTCTATTATAATAATAATTATGTATATTGACCTCTTCAAAAGTAAAAAGCACATCATACTTTCTGTCAATATAAGAATTATTACCGATTGAACTGTGGTATGTTCTCCCTTCTTTGACTTCAGCCACTGTTGTTTTTTGTAGGCGTTTCTTTTTGAGAACTTTATGTTGTTTTTTTCCCTGTTTGCTTTTTAATCTGTTTGTGTTGCCCTCTCTCTTCTTGTTTAATTTATTACCCCTGCTTAGGGTCTCATTTCCAGGTGACAGGCCTATAGATGTGTTTAACTGAAAAATCAATTCATTTAAAATCATGCAAGTCTTTATCATCTTTATAATAATTCCTTAAAAAAATCATATTTTGTATGCTTTTGTAATGAAAGTTGAAGGCATTTTGTAGTATGAATATTACATTTTGAGCAGCAATAATCAATCATTGAATAGAATTCGGCAAAATTGAGATTAATCTTGACCTGATGTAGAATAATCAGAATATTTACCCAGGAATCTTTAACAGTTGATATCATAATGTATTGGTTTTTTTGCTCATTTTTAAAGGCTGTAAAAGTAAGGGCTTTTCCAGAATTAATTTATGGGAAGGAGGACAGCACTTTTATTAAAATTTGATGGGTGGTGGTTATCTAAGAAAGATTGCCTGAACATTTATATGAAATATCCAATTTAAAATGTATGCATGGTTGGGTCAAATAAAAAGTGCCTTCCTACCCCCCCTCATTTGCAATCATACCGTATTTTCTTATTTTTATATTTTTTTAGTTTATTTTTTTTAATAGAGAAGTATATATATATATATATATATGAAGTGAGATTGCATTTATTACATGTTCATTGTGATTATTAAAGCCTTAATGTAAGTTGCTAATTTCTGTTCATTTGTCTTAATTGCAATTAAGTATAGGATGTTTATCAAATAATACCTCAGCAACATAATTATAACCCTCATTCTTTTGGAGTACGGCTGAGCTGACTCTGTAATTTAAAGATGCTGATGTGGAGAAATGTTTGGTTTTTAGAGCTTTGAGAGCAATTAAGTTATTAAAGCTTTCATTTGCCTGTGATGAGCCCAAGTTAGATAGCTTTTTAGACTGTGGAACCATTTTTTGAATAAACAGTTTCTCAAGATCTGATCTGTGTTCAGACGAACATAGGTCTTTTCCACAAGGAAGATTTGAATGGATATAGGAATCCTTGTCTTTAAGGTATCCACACCAAGTTTCATTGCAGTTATCATGTTCGCCAAATATGTGTTTTATTGATGCATGTAGGCCGTCCTCAATACCACTTGGATTACCTACATTCTGGTTGACAACGTATGTAAAGTTTTTAACAATTGCGTCACAAACCATTCCAGTTAACTCGTTGTGTTTTGGCTTTAGTTCATTTATCTTTGAAATAATGTTATGTTTGATATGATTTCTATCACTTATTTTTTCCATTTTTGAATTGGGCATTATTAATCGCTTGGCTCAGTCAAAACCTGTGGAATCATCATCTCCTACTACTTCTAATATATCCACTCCTTTTTCATCTAATTCCTTTAACATTTCGACTTCCATATCTGGTTCCATACCCTGAAATAGTTTTTAAAATAATGTGTATTCAGTAAACATTTAGATGATACCACAACCCCATATTTGATTATCAAAAGCCTTAAACTTTGCATTGACAAAATTTTTTGTAAAAATTCCTCAAAAATGAAAGCGTACAAGGTTTGATTAATTCAACAGTTGTATCTAACAATTCTAATAATCTGTCAATTATTTGAAATTGAAATGTTTTGGAAACACTAAAGAATGAATGGTCCTCACATTCACTTTCATCAACTAAACATTGAATATGCCAATTCAAAATTACAACTTATTTTCAAAGTAAATATTGAGGTGTTGTTTGTTTTCACAATGCAATGATGACGGGACGTATGATGAGATATCGTTGTCGTCTGTTCTTCTGTTGTCAACATGTAGGACATTAACTCAAAAACGCTTTAACTAATTTGCATAAAACTTTGATGAATTGTTATATATATTGATGTGAGATCCCTTTGGTTTTTTATAAATTTTAGATTTTACATTTCCGAGTTATGGGGTTTTATTCATTAAAAAAGGGGTGATTTTCCAGTTTTGGACAATGACTCAAAAATGCTTTCAGCAATTCTCATGAAACTTTAGTGAATTGTTTATATCTATTGATGTAAGCTCCCTTTTGATTTTTATACATTAGAAATATGACATTGAGAAGTAATTGAACTTTTTCTTTGAAAAAGTGATGGGCGTATCATGTGCTCATGGCGCAGCTGTTTATTACCATTGTTATTGCTTTCATATGGTAAATACCTTTGCCGAACCACTCCAATTCTTTCTACACTTATGTTGTCGTGGTAAGACACCTCTGCCCTTTGCCCTTTCACAAATTCTACAGCTTGATATGCGAACCTTATGGTTTACAACTTTGCCTGTGGTTTTTCCAATCAGTGTTGAAACTTCTTCAAAATGCAACATATTGAAGTTTTATATCTAAATCACAATGTTCAAGCCAAGATTTGAAAAGAACAGGTTTATATTGAGCATATCAAAGAACCCCATATACTAAAATGTTGTTGCTCATGAAATGTACAAAACCGAAGAGTTATTGGTATTTTTTTGTTTTTTTCATTTAACAAATTGCAAATTTGTGGCTTTGTGACCATTTTGAAAAAATAATGTGAAAGTTTGGTTTAGTTTATATCTGTATATTATATTTGTTCAGCATCTACCAGTACCTTGTTTAAAGAAACTTTAAACCACAAAAAGAAGAATATCTGCTGTATTATTTTTATTAGATTTGAGATTTTTTACCTTGACTTGTTGAAAAATTTAATAAATGGTCAACTAATGAATGACGAAATCTAGAATGTAGCTTGATAAAAGATAGGAAAACACTTTAAGAGTTGTTTGTTATACTCTAAAGAAGGCTAAAATATCAACAATCAATACATTCTATAGAATAGAAGCAGTAAAGTTATAATTTTTGTATCAATTTTAATTGATATTTCTGACTTTTTTGCAGAGTTATCTCCCGTTTTCAATGCAAATCTCCATAGGAATTTTAAATCATGATTTTTTAGTCTTCCTCAAGTAAGAATATATAAAACTTTTTGCTGTGTATATTTGGGGTATAATGCCTGGACTAATGGGTATGACTATGCGGTATGGGCTTTGCTCATTGTTGAAGGCCGTACGGTGACCTATAGTTGTTAATTTCTGTGTCATTTTGGTCTCTTGTGGAGAGTTGTCTCATTGGCAATCATACCACATCTTTTTTTTTATAATGGGGTATATTCCAAAAAGAAAGTAACTAATATTTAACAAGCAAAATGCATTTCTATAGATCCACCCCACCAGGTGATCACACTGAATGGACATGAAATAAGCACTGTCATTTTTACCTGATAAGCTGTAGTACGATCGGCCAGATCCTTTTTTCTGCCAGCATGTATCAGTACTTATGCATATTCCACTTCTACTGTCTGTTTGATCTTCTAATTTAATAGGAAAAAAATGCACATATAATATATATATATATATAGAAATAAGCAGTAATTATAGACCACTTCTGTAATCCACTTTGGTCTTGACTGTCCTTAACTAGTGTGATTAATTAATATCAATCTTGGTATAGTCTGTATAATTGATTCGAAAAATGCTCGTCCAGTCTTGACTCTGTCTCAACCTGTGTCTACAATCTTGATCTTCAAATTTAGTCTAGACTGGTCTGAATGAGCCTATCTAACTATATAATGAATTTTATATTAATTTTACAAAATTTCAGGTTATTTGGTAGTTTGTTCATTGCTGTCAAATTAAAGGCTTTGATTAATAGGTAGAAAAAAATAGAATTTTCAGTTCTGAATAAATTAATATAGTGACCTTTAATTATAACTTTAAATTTTTCCAATTAACTTAGATTTTCATAAAACTTTGCAGCTATCTCAATTATATATTGATCTTACAGAATGCCATATTGTTTGGTAGCTTGGTGTATTGCTGTCAAATTAAAGGATTTCATTAATAGGTAAAAACAGCAAGAATTTTCAGTTTGGACTAAATTCTGATAGTCACATTTAAATTTTTATAAAACTTTTCTAAATCAACTTGGATTTTCATTAAACTATATAGCTATCTGAATTATATGATGATGTTATAGAATGCAAGGTTGTTTGGTAGTTTAGAGTGTAGCTATTAAATTTAAGGACTTAATTAATTGGTTAAAAAAAGCTAGAATTTTCAGTTTGGACTAAATTCTGATAGTCACCTTTAAATATTTTCATAACTTTTTCAAGTTATAATTCTGATTTTTCATCAACATCTTTAGCTATCTCAATTAGATATTGATCTTGCAAAATACCAGGTTATTTGGTAGTTTTCGCAACTTTTGTTTATTGCTGTCAAATTTTAAAATTTAATTTATAGGTATCTTTATGCATTTAGACCAAACTGAAAATTGTGACTTTTTTTTACCTATTAATTAAATCCTTAAATTTTATGGCAATCAACAAAATATCCACATTACCTGCATTTTGTAAGATCAATATATAATTAAGATAGCTGTATAGTTTTATGAAAATCCAAGTTGATTTAGAAAAGTTAGAAAGAAAATTAAGGGTGACTATCTGATTAAGTACAAACTGAAAATTCTTGCTTTTTTTTTTTTGGTTGAGATTGTAGAGACTGAGTCCAGACTGGTTGAGCATTTGTCGAGACCATATTCAGACTATACCAATATTATCAAGTACTCATCAGGCTTATAAAGTAAAGTATAAGAAAATGTATATAAATACAAAATAGCCATAATTGTTATCAAACCTGTTGTGGAATTCAATATTTCCCTTTGCAAGTGTCTTTGTTGTGACATGATGGCCTGATTATCAAGAACACTGCCGGCTTCATTTTCTCTAATTTTCAAGGTCTTTGCATCTATGCAATGGACATTAAGTGATGACAAAAAGTTTTTGAGCTGAGTCTCGCCAATACCAGTATGTATCATTTCTGTATTGTTTATTAAAAGATGTTTAATAAAAATGAATTGTGAATACATCAAAAAAATTGGTTCAATGTGTATTTTTTAACATGTTTAATGAATGAAGTGTTTTTCACAAGGCCTTTCATCATCACTACAAATTCTGTAATTGAGGCTATCAGAATTGTTTTTTAATGCAATATGTATATGTGAAGCCTAGGTGGTCGAGTGGTCTAACGTGTTGGATATAGTGCAATACGATTTTGTGCCACAATATCTCAGTAGTATGAGTTTGAATCCCGGCGAGGGAAGAACAAAATAAATTTGCGAAAGCAAATTTACAGATCTAACATTGTTCGGCTGATGTTTAAATGAATTATATATTTATATACCAGTAGACAGATGGTGTTATAAATGTGTTTGATGCTATAATTTATATATTATTGCGAACCCAATGAAAGTTTTCCACAGTGCCATCTCTATCTTGACCAGGTATTTAACCTTTTGTAAGTTCATCTGTCCTATTGAATGAATACAATAGCTATTTTTCTCTGTGTAGTTTATTCACTGGGACCTTTAAATTTCTTCAAAGAGAAATCTATCACTCATTGATTAATTTACCTGAGTAAAAAAAAATTTGGTAAATAGAGGAAAATAGATATAGGAAGATGTGGTATGAGTGCCAATGATACAACTCTCCATCCAAGTTTTATACTCAAAACTGCATGTGATGTTATATTTATTCAATATTGATAATATATGTTCAATCGGTTGAATGTAAACAGTGATGCAAAGTTGAAACATTAATAAAATATAAAAAAGAAGATGTGGTATGATTGCTAATGAGACAACTCTCCACAAGAGACCAAATGACACAGAAATTAACAACTATAGGTCACCGTACGGCCTTCAACAATGAGCAAAGCCCATACCGCACAGTCAGCTATAAAAGGCCCCGAAATGACAATGTAAAACAATTCAAATGAGAAAACTAACGGCCTAATTTATGTACAAAAAATGAACGAAAAACAAATATGTAACACATAAACAAACGACAACCACTGAATTACAGGCTCCTGACTTGGGACAGGCACAAACATACAGAATGTGGCGGGGTTAAACATGTTAGCGTTGATTTATGTTATATTAATAATATATTAATAATATATTTTCATTCAGTTTAATATAAACATTGATTCAATCATAAAAAGTTGATTTCTGACAAAACTTTCAACATTGTTCCTTTTAAAAAAAAATTTGTTTGACATGAATAAAAACTTGAAAATTATGATGTTCAAATTAAGATCTTCTTAAATGTATTCTATTAACTAGACAAAAAAAAAATCAAATTTCAATAGGAACATTGATAAAACTTTTGTTTGAAATCAACTTTTTATGATTGAATCAATGTTTATATTAAACTGAATGAAAATATATTATTAATATTGAATAAATACATCATCACACCCAGTTAATGAGTATAAAAAAAGTATTTTTGTCTATATATAAGAATTTTTTTTTACTGGGGTAAATTAATCAATGAGTGATAGATTTCTCTTAGAAGAAATTTAAAGGTCCCAGTGAATAAACTACACAGAGAAAAATAGCTATTGTATTCATTCAATAGGACAGGTGAACTTGCAAAAGTTTAAATACCTGGTCAAGATAGAGATGGCACTGTGGAAAACTTTCATAGGATTCGCAATAAATCCAAGATATAATTAATGATTTTGTACATGATGTGCTTTTTTTTTTCATTTTTCTCAATCAAGTAATTCTTTCTGTCAGTATTGTTCTTTTGTATTACTTTAATTGTTATTTTCTTATTATGTTGCCCCTTCAAAAGCGCCTTGTTTCTTCAATTTGAAATAAAGTATAATTTATATGTTATTCTTCTATACATGTACAGATGTACAGGGTTATGTTTTTCTTATATATTTTATGATAGATATAGGAAGATGTGGTATGAGTGCCAATGAGACAACTCTCCATCCAAGTAACAATTTAAATAAACTGCTTCGCTGAGCGCAGCTGGATACGCTCGCAGAGGTCCAACCCTGAACAGTTGGGGCAAAAATGGACACAATATTCAAGCTTGATACAGGTCTGAATTTGGATTGTAATTAAATATTTGATATATTATAGGTTTCTGAATAAATGTAGTCAGAGAACTTGAAATTGGTTATATGAAAGATTTCTTGCTGTTGTGCAATACACTGTGCTGTTGCGCATTACTTAGTAAATCTGTAGTCAGACTATAAACAAATAAAATCTTATAACTCGGAAATGTAAAATCGAAAATTTATAAAAATCAAAAGGGAGCTTACAATATAGATATAAACAATTCACCAAAGTGTCATAAAAAATGCTGAAAGCATTTTTGAATTATTTTCTGAAAACTGAAAAATCCCCCTTTTCGTAATGAATAAAACCCCATAAATCGGAAACGTATGGTCTGAAATTTATAAAAAGCAAAAGGGAGCTCATGTCGATAGAAATAAACAATTCACCAAAGTTTCTTGCAAATTGGTAAAATTGTTTTTGAGTAATTGTCTGAAAACTGGAAAATCCCCCCTTTTTTAATGAATAAAACCCCAAAACTCGGAAACGGTAAATCAAAAATTTATAAAAAACTAAAGGGAGCTCACGTCAATAGATATGAACAATTCACAAAAAGTTTCATGCAAATTGGTGAAATATTTTTTGAGTTATTGTCCGAAAACTGGAAAATCCCCCCTTTTTTAATGAATAAAACCCCAAAACTCGGAAATGGTAAATCTGAAATTTATAAAAAACGAAAGGGAGCTCACGTCAATAGATATAAACAATTCACCAAAGTTTCATGCAAATTGGTAAAAGCGTTTTTGAATAAATGTCCGACATGTTGACGACGGACGAACGGACAGACGGACTGACAGACTGTCAACTGTATACCATAATACGTACCGTAAACGGGCGTATAAAAAGTAAACCATTATAGGTCAAGGTACGGCCTTCAACACGGAGCCTTGGCTCACACAGAACAGCAAGCTATAAAGGACCCCAAAAATTACTAGTGTTAAACCATTCAAACGGGAAAATCAAAGGTCTAATCTATATAAAAACGAGAAACGAGAAACACGTATGAACTACATAAACAGACGACAAATAGTGTGATACTAAACCCCTAACGGGAGGGATAGTGTTGATATTCATATGATGAAACATAATCTTTCAATCAGTTAAATTGAGGTCTGGGGCTGGCATGTCAGTAACAGCTGGTAGTCATTTGTTAATTTATGTATAATTGTCATTTTGTTTAGTTTCTTTTGTTACCTATTTTGACATCGGACTCAGACTTCATTTAAACTGAGTTTTAATGTGCATATAGCCATGCTGTGTGTTTGTTTTTTCTACATTGGCTTGAGATCTCACAAAACATGTTTAACCCTGCCGCATTTTTGTGCCTGTCCCAAATCAGGAGCCTTTAGCCTTTGTTAGTCTTTTATGATTTTTAATTATAGTTCATATTTATATATTTTGGTCTTTCAGAGTTTACATGTACATGATGTAGCTATATTTATATAGTATGACGTCCTTATTCAATGAACTAGTACACATTTTTGTAGCGAGACTTGCTGAAGCATGCCTCAGGGTGCAGGATTTTCTCATTGTTGAAGACCCATCGGTGGCTGTTTTCTGCTCTTTGGTCAGGTTGTTGTCTCCTTGACACATTCCCCATTTCCAGTCTCAATTTTACAACAAAGAAAATGTTATGCTATTTTATAAATAACAGATTTATGATGAGATGAACATAAAAGAAAGTCAACAGACACTACTATTTTTCCAGAGGACTAATAAAAATGTCAGGTGACATATGTGCGGTTGGGAAGGTTAGAAACTCTACATGAAAGAAACCTGTTGCAGCTTTCGTATTGACATAAAAAATTCCAACACCATTCTTTTCTCTCCCAAAGTGGACCTTGCCTAGTTTAATTCTGTTTAAGGTTTGACATGACCAGTGTTTACAAATAATGTACACTATGCCGGTCCGTCCATAGCACCGGACTCCCTTTATTTTGCATCATGCAAATGTAAAGGTAAACTACATTCTCTGCAACCTTTTAGCTGGTTAGCCAATGTGTCCAGTTCGGTCACTAGTCTACAGTGACTTAACGGTACAAGATCAGGTGGTATATATGTTAAGTCATCATCCGTTAATGTGCTTGCTGTAATGTTCTCTGTTGGTGCTATGGGCTTACAAAATGTAGCATAGGAATGATCTGATACTCGGTTGTTGTTTTTATGTTTTTGGAGAACTCTATCTAGAATTAATTTTGTTATTTTTTTGACAGATTTTGTTTGTGAGAATTGCCCCTTGTGGTTTCTGATCGACGACATAATTTCTTTAGAGCAGACTATTATTTATTGCGATTGTCGCATTGCGAAATTAACATCTTACCTCCATGGCCATTTTTTTCAAAGGGTGCTCCGTCACTTTCAAGTCCAGTTTCAGTGATGTTAATTTGTGAGCCGCTTAATAATACACCAAAATGATTCTCAATATGTATTATTCCTGAGAATCAAGTCAATCATCTTAATAAGCGGTTCACTTGTTTCATATCTTCTCTTTTTTCTTGAGATTTTTTTCGACTACTCACCATTCACTTTTACCGGAAGTAAACATGCTACATTTCGTCATATAATAAGATAAATTAAACATATTCGTTTCATTGAATGATTGCAAAAAATATTATTCAAAGTAAGTTATCCGCTGAAAAAAATTGTTTACGAATGTTTTTTGTATTTATCAGGTTATCGTAAAAATATTTGTTTACGACAAGAGAATGCGTAACTTTCTGCGCAGAAGGCGCGAAAATTTAAACCCTCGAACTACCTTAACCAGGAAAACATAGCGAGGATAGGTTCAAATGAAACATTCCAGACAATGTACACCTGATAATAATTCAATGCACCAAAAATAGTGCCTTGTTGCTTTTAATATCCAAGAGAGACACTTACCCAAGAAAACTAAGTATTGACCAATGCACAATGAAAATGAGGTCAAGGTCAAATGAAACCTGCCAGACAGACATGTTAATTTTACAATTATTCCATACAACTAATAGAGTTGACCTAGTGTGTACAGCATATGAAAA